GATTATATGGGGACTACTACAGGGAATATTCAGGGGGATACTAAAGGTTCAGATCCTAAATCCCAAGCCCTGAACCCTCAACCCCACTGTATACTGCAGGGGTTATTGGGCGGGATGCTAGGAGTTAAGACTATAGCTCATATACACCCCTAAGATGTTTCTTCCGAATCGTTCCTTCATCCCCTACAGACCACCAGGCTTGGTGCCCCAGACCCTAGACCCTCAATCTCGAAACTCTAAGCCCAAACCCTAAACCCTAAAGCCTATATAATATATTCCCTACTAGACCTTCAGTAAGAAGCTGCAAGGTATATTCCCTACAAACCCTCTAACCCTCTAAACCCCAAGCCCTAAACCCTACACCCTAAAACCTAAACCCTAAACCCTAAACCCCAAACCCTAAACCCTTAAACCCTACATAATATATTCCCTACTAACCCCGACAGTAAGAAACTCCAAGGTATGGAACGCGTTTCTGAGCGCGCCGACAGCGAGGCAACCTACTCGGAGCTCCGGCGCTGGATCTCAAAGGCGGGTGTTTTAGGGTTTAGGGTTTAGGGCTTAGGGTTGGGGGTTTAGGGTTGGGGGTTCAGGGTTTAGGGTTTAGGGTTGGGGGTATAGGGTTTAGGGTTTAGGGTGTATGGGGTTCAGGGTTGAGGGCCTTGTTTAGGGTTTAGGGTCTATTGGGTTTATTGTTTGAGGTCCAGAGGGTTTAGTTCTGGGTTTAGGGATTAGTTTAAGCTTTAGGGGTTAGTTTAGAGTTCAGGGTTAGTTCAGGGTTGAGGGGCTAGTTTAGGGTTTAGGGTTTAGTTTAAGGTCTATGGGTTTAAGGTTGAGGGTCTAGTCTAGAGGGTGTAGTTTGGGGTGTAGGGCTAGTTTAGGTTGTAGTTCAGGTTTTGGGGTTTAGTTCAAGGTATAGGGTTTACTTTAGGGTTTAGGGTCTATAGTGTTTAAGGTCTAGGGTTTAAGGTCTAGGGCATAGGGTATAGCGATGGTGGCGAGTTGAGGAGTCATACATAGTTACATGGGAGCTTCCCAACATGCGCGCTATGTGATGCTTTTTTCGTGATATAAACAATCCCCCTTGACCCCCAAGGAGTCCCCATTTTGAGAGATTCTGTGGGGTCTCAAGGCTCGCAGTTAGAGCCGGCGCCACATTCGGGGATGTACAGAGAATTTCAGGCCAAAGCCGGGGGACAATGCGATGTGCACGGCTGCAGGAACGCTAGCTACCTTTAGGCTACCCCAGCTCTAATTTCACATGATCAGTCCTAAATCCCTCTGCCTAAATCCTGCCGCAAACCCAATCCCCCAAGCTGCGAGGAGTATGGATCGACTGGCCTGCATCAGCTACAGGAAGCGTCAAAGGCAAAAGCGGGCCCCGTTTACGGTAGGGCTTCAGATTGTTTAGAAGCAAGCTTCAGTTCTTCTTGCAAATTGTAGGGTTTATTCCTGAGAACAACGCATCCAAGAAGATGTTGTCTTGATTTCGCAGCCCCACCTTCGTGATTGCTACTGGGTCTCATGTAGGATTTGAGACACGGTCTGTAGGGCGCCGGCAAATTCCTTCACCTAATAATCAAGCCTGCCTCCAAAAAATCTCTCAGTGCTAAATCAGTGAGGAAATTCATGCTTGCGGGTGGGAATCGTGGAGCTTGATCAGCCACAGGTTTGGGGCAATTGCTTTAAAGCTGGGGTCTACCGGATTCCTCTAGAGGCTAAGCCTTCAAAGTACTTTGTGGGCCTTAAGAAGCCAAGCCGTAGGCTTCAAGATTCATAAGAGCTGTAGTCTAAACTCC